AAACATTTCAGAACTCTATATATTGAGATGGGTTAATTATTAACTCACTAATTTAATTCTCTATTTATTTATTTATTTATTTGTACTAATAAATAAAAAACCTTTAAATGTACTCACTTATTGTGCTCTATACATCAGAGTAATCCACTTGACTGCAGTCCATCAATTGATGTCTTAAGAAGCAAAAAGGTGTGTTTGTAATATATTTTTGGGTGAACTATTCCTTTAAATTCAAAGCTGGTGAAACCATCAGAACAGTCTTTGAATGGGTTTAGATGAGGTCATGAGAGGGAAATCATAACTTAGTAAATCTATAGATTTCCATGAAATCTAACACACCATGTGTCATAACAATCAGGTGCATACATGAAAAGATTTTCCAGGGAAAAAAATAAATAAAAATTCTTTACCTGCACATTTTCAAGAGATAACCATATTGATTTAAAAAACAAAGAAGAAGAAAAAGTCTTATTTGGATGGCTGGGATCTAGGCCGGCCCAGAATTGTAACCTTTTCGAGCCATTTTGCTACAGACGGTGTTGAATTGTTTGAGCTGCGCTGAATTTTCTGCAGATCTTCTCTTATTTAAAGGCACAATATGTAATTTTCGCCGCTAGAGGGCGCATATTCAAAATAAACAAATAGACAGAGGCGTAGTTTGATGACGCAGTGACTGAGTGTGGAATCATGGGAGTTGTCGTCTTTATCCCCACAGCCGATGCAATCCCACGGGACTCGGGCAGAAATCATGTTCATGGATGAGCTAATGATTTATTAACGTAGTAGAATGAAGCAGGGTGAGGCTGAAAGCTGTCGAAGCAAAAGGAGGCCGCTGAACGAGCGCGACACACGTCTCGAAAGCAGCGGAGCTTTTATTATGCCACAGTCGAGCGCTTCCGCTCCTTCCGGTCGTGCGTATGTGGGGCTGTTTTATCATACATTTGAAAGTTCTGTTATAATGCTGCTCTGTGCAGTCGTCACCGGTCTATTAAAACGCACAACGTATTAAAGCGTCTTTGGTGTTTCCATGTTTTCTACAAAACAAAACTGGAAATCGAGGGTGTATGACGTCATTGGCAGGCGACACAATGACACTATGGACACGGTCCGTGTCACTAGTTAAAATTGCTTATTTCTCTGGATTTAAACATTATTTGCAACATTTGGGATAATGTAAGTACACAAGTCTGCAAAATATATAACACTGTTCTAGTGGTTTTTGGATTTTTTAATAAAAAAATCTTACATATTGTGCCTTTAAGACAATGAGCAAGTGAAAGTATACTGTTAGTCGCTTCTCTCACAATTATCTAGTTGCTCAATGTAATTTGGTAATAGCACATCCTTGTCAAAGTTGTGACATGCTTGTTATAGTGACCTGCAAATCACAACAGCAAATCTTCTCTGATCTGCTATTTCATTCAGACGAAACCTGTGCTCTTTAGTGTTTAAGAATCTAAACACAAGTGCACTAATGCACTAAATCTAATTGGCACAACATGAGTAAAGAAAAGAGAAAGAATAAAAGGGTTTTATTCACCACTTCCGTCTTCACCTCCATTTTCGGCTCTTAGCCAAAGGTTTTCATTTCAGTGGATTTCATAAAAGCAAAACTTAACGGATCTCCTGTTTACCTCAAGACAAAATCTGTGCTCTTTATTTAGGATATAAACACAAGTGCAAAGTAATTCAAAGTCATTTTCATATTTGTATTTGTTATTTTTTTTTGTTATATAATTTTGAAGAATTTTTTTAATCTTACTGCATAGAGCACATGAAAAAATATATATGTGCACAGGGTTTATGAGAATCCTAAAAGAACCGAAAACACCTGCAGTGCTTGCAAAACACAAATACTCCCAAGAGTAAAAAGGAACAAACACAGCTAGGACATTTTAATTCACCACTTCCTTCTTTTCCAACAGTTTAATTACTCAGCCAAAAGTCTTGTTTTCATTTGAACCTTCGAAACAGACAACAAGGTAAGCTTATCACACATATGATTTATGGTGCAAAGACAAAAAAAGTTGGTCAAGCAGTGTGTGAATTATAGGCCTATGCTGTTTTTGGGAGCTAATAGGCCTAGTATGTATTGCACAAGGGTACAAAAAGATTACTTTTATTATAATTAATATTTAATTACGTATTATTATTCAAAATTATTTATTAAAACAAATTGTAACAGATTGCCGGCTTCCCTTAAAATATGAGTGCGCCCCCTCCGTCCTGCACCCCAGACAGAGATGCTGTCTCTTCGACTACACCTTTGAATGAAGACGTCAACCAAGGTGAGCACTTATTAATAACAGGACCTTGTAAATTATGTTAATAACATATGTCAGGGCTCGAAATTACCGTTTGCCCGTCACTGTATGTAATGGGAGAAACGGTCAGTCAGGAGAGTAGAGCTGCACAATTCTGGATAAATTGACAATCACGATTTTCTTTCTTTTTTCAAATAGAGATCATGATTCTGAACAGACAACTAAACAAAATAGCATGTTATTTAATAGCCTAGATGTTCTGACAAAATGTTAATTGCTGCAGTCTATTTATTTCTTTACTTTGAATTGTTTATTGCAAAATCTGCACCTCTTCTGTGGCTAATATTAATTTCATAATGATCCTTACTCCGTGAAGTCAAGCAGAAGTTAAGTGACTGTGCAAACACTACTGGCCCATTTTGGGTGAACTAAATATGCAAGATTAGTCTTACATGTCGCTGTTTATAACACAGGGCGTTCATCCTTTGCTGGGCCGATTTAAAAAATATATATATAGAATTTGGTATAAATTAAGAAAATGTGACTCTGGCTGTGAAAACCCAGCTAAAGTCATTTTTTGTTATTTACTACATAATTATTTTTGTGATTTTTCTACATAAAATCATCCTTCATAAGGTAAAGAACATTCTGTGAAAATGTAACCTTGATATCTTTAATATCGACTGAGTAAAGCCATGTCAAAGATTGAAATCATAGTGACATTAATGGTTGAAATCAAACTTTGATGCTTGTTATCTCATAATTAGATTTTGAGACTTTAGCCTGGATTTCACAGAGGAGGTCACATATACCCACTTCCAGGCACCATTACACCTCATATCCATATAACGTTAAAGGGGTCATATGATGCTGCTAAAAAGAACATTATTTTGTGTATTTGGTGTAATGAAATGTGTTTATGCGGTTTAAGGTTCAAAAAACATATTATTTTCCACATACTGTACATTATTGTTTCTCCTATATGCCCTGCCTTTCTGAAACGCTCGATTTTTACAAAGCTCATCGGTCTGAAAAGCGAGGAGTGCTGTGATTGGCCAGCTATTCAGTTCGTTGTGATTGGCCGAATACCTCAAGCGTGTGACGGAAATGTCACGCCCCTTACCATACTGTGATGCCCTGTCAGGCCGGAGCGACGATTCAAAAACATGAAAACCCATTATAAACGAGGCATTTGTTGCATCCAGTGGGGACATAATTATGGATTATAATGACTTATATTGTCTTTTTACGCATTGTGTTGCATCGCGCCACGTAAACATAAAACCATGTCTGCATTTGTGATCGGAGAAATTACAAACTACAAGCGCTACTCTACACTGCTCAAAACTTGCGTTTGAATCGTCAGTGGCAAATTCTTTAAATATAAAAAACGCACTTAAAGTATGTGAGTCAGAACAGCCGGCATTGTAGTCTACTCAACCAGGATCAGGGAACAGTCCTCCATAAAATGTGCAGCAAACATCTGAATATTTGGGTTGAAGTGTTCTGGAACAGTGTTGTAAATACAACTAAACCACTGATTTGTAGTCGTGTCCTCTTTTGGAAGATCAAACAAAGTAGTTTCGCTTTCACAACGAAACACGGCGGGCTAGAGTGAGCGGCGGCGGCCTAGAGTGAGCAGAGGCCAGGGGTTAGAGTGAGGAACAGCCGGAGGGCTAGAGTGAGCGGCGGCGGCCTAGAGTGAGCAGAGGCCAGGGGTTAGAGTGAGGAACAGCCGGAGGGCTAGAGTGAGCGGAGGTCAGTGGGCTTGAGAACGGTGCGGCCGGTGGATTTGACGAAGGAGCGGCCGGCGGGCTTGAGGCAACCACATGTGATGACCCCGGGCTGGACTCTGCTTCGTCCACGGTGAAAGCCGATCCAGCGATCCACAGCACAAAGTTGATGTATTTCCTCAGCGACCAGCACGGATCAGCTCCAGGCATGACGAAGCGATATTGTGCTTTTTTGGAAGACCAAACAAAGTAGTTTCGCTTTCACAACGAAACTCACAGCACCTTCACGGCATGGCGGCGGCAACAATACTACAGCGAGAATAAAAGTTAAGCCTTCTTTCTTTGTGTGAACATTTAGGTGGTGTTATTCAAATCTTCCCACATAGTGAGGTAGATATGTGGGGCTGTGTTAGAATTTGGATTTGAGACTTTAGTCTTTGCAACTTTACAGATCTTCTTTATGCACCAAGAGCTTGTAACACTCCAAAGAGAAAGGAAAAATTTTAATCGCATAATTTAATTAACTTGGGTCCTTGGGTCAAATAAAAAAGGAACCAACATCAGATCACAATCTTGTGACGAGTAACCTGTAAAACAGATGAGCCAAGTCTTACTAGAGTTACTTTACATCTGTACGTTTTGTAAAGTATTTTAAATTGTAGCCTACATCTTACTGCCTGATAATACAAGCCTGCAGCAGCGCGCACCCAGAAAGCTAGAAAGCAGGGTTGCCAGGTTTTCACAACAAAACCCGCCGAATTGCAACTCAAAGGTATCCCAATCGCTTCGAGGGGGATCCCCCATTACAAATCGCGTTCCGGTTGGGGTTGGGTTTCCCCGGTCAAATTCACGTTATTGAGGTCGCTTCAAACCGCGAACATGAAAAACAACCCGCGGCAACACTGTAGCCCAATTCCGCGGGGAAACCGCGGACTTGGCAACACTGCCAGGAAGTGACGTTGAGTTACGCGCGCATCTACGTGTAGTGTGTGTGTGTGTGTGTGTGTGTGTGTGTGTGAGAGAGAGTACTGACTTTCACCGGTGCTATTGGTGCTTTGGGGAACGAGCGCGTGGTGAACATAAGAGAAACAAATTCGCATTTACGAGTACTGATAACGAAACGCACACAGGCGGGAAAAATTATTTAAAAGAGCCGTTTTCTCATTTAAAAGTAAGTACGTTGCGTTTCAGTAAGCCACTACGTTTGAGCTTTTATGAATTAGCAGGATGGCCTGCAATGTGACAGCTCAATGAGAATGTCACGCTGTCAGTGAACTTCATGCCATGCTTTGGGTTAATAAGTTGATTGCTGTTTAAGGCTGATTTGCTCTAATGGTAAAATGAGCAATATGCACATTACTTATGTGGTTAAATCTAAAAAGATCCATTGACAGTCACCTTGCAGATAATTTCAGATAAGTTCAGTTTGATGTAATATGAATGTCTAGCTTAGCATGACACAATCTGAATTGAGTGTTATTTGTGCTAGTGTTTCTATTAATTATTTCTCTAGAAAAGAATTAAAAAAAAACCGGGTTAGGAGGAATTAGATGATTTCGCCACGTGCGTGTGAACAGGAAGTGCTAAAGATCTTTGACCTTCAAGTGTTCTCTAAAGAGTCCGAAATAATTTTTGCTTTCTATTGATATATCAACTTATTAGATACTTTACAGATAAGAAATACAAATATTTATATTGTAATGTGTCCTTGCTGCATTACAAAATGTAACTTCCTTGTAAGTAACCTTGTGTTCTCGAGATAAGAATAACATTGGTATAGTTATTTTGTTAGTTCTCAGTGTTCTGCAAGAAGTGGTTTATAACCTGATTTACAATGGAAATCATTATGGACCAGCTTCCATATCAGTGTCTGATGCTGGTTGTGACTCTCACATGATCTTCATCAGTCACAGCACACGCTCCACTTTAGTGTGATGCTCTCTGGGTATTTGACCATGTGCTTAGGCAAAAGATCTTCACTCATCCTTGTTTAATAGAGCTTGAACTGCATTTATGCTTGCAGGGCTCAACAATAAGGTGTTCTCCACCCCCCCACCCCCCTAGTCACTGGGGCCGACATATCGATATCACATATCCAACAAAGTACTTTTTGCTTTATCTCCGCATCCGCCCTGTTATTAGATACCTTTGCTTGCAGAATAAATGAATCAGGGCTGACTTTGCATTAAAAAAGTTTGGAATTTCAGGTTTTTGTATTTGATTTCAAACTTATTTATGTGTGATTGCTTTCCTCTACAAGGTTGTTTTGTTGAAACATGATGAATGCTGGTTTGTGTTCAACAACCTTCAAGTATCATCACAGACAGATCAGGCGTCATCAACGACACAATCTAAAATAAGGCAACGGTTGCTTTAGGTGTCCATTCTTCTCAAATCGTTTTATTTATTCAGAATCTCATTTATTCAGACTCATTCATTGGCCCTTCGGGATTATTGTTTAAGCAAGTCTTAACTGACAAACTGTCCAGTGAATCCGCACGTCATTGTAGTGTTGCAAGACTGAAAATGCCGCCAATTGTTCTGTTAGGTTGTTAAATTAGTAGGAAGTTGCTAATCTAACCACACAAACACTTCCTGTAATGCAAGACAGTTTTTGTAATTCAAACTTTAGCTTGAATTACAAAAAGGATGTAATAAACCTCAAAGTGGCATTATGAGGAATTATGAAAACGTGTGTTGTTTTTCCCCCTGTTTTTATTTCGCTAACTTTCTTTGGTTAGTGTAAATAGTTTAGTAGGCCACTAGATTTAAAGTACACAGTATTTCACAATTAGTACATGTTTGTGGTGCACATGTTGCCTTATCAACATTATATAATCTCCATATTGATTCTTATCAATGCTTTAACTAGCTGTGGAGCCGCGGTAGAGGGTGGCTCTGGCTTTTGGATGGTGTTCAACGAATCAAAAGACTACCTCTTTTTTTTCAGTGTATAAAAACATTTTTGGACTTTGAACAAGGAGGGCTGTGTTTATGAATTCAGAGACTTCAAAAAGAGCACTTCGACTGAGTAGGAGCTTGTGAGAAACTTTGTGTTGCTAAAGATATTTTATCTCTTTCGTTTCAGATTCCATGGCAGGGACAATTGATCAGGCCAAAATGAAGTTTTCGAGAATAGTAAGTGCTGTTTTTGACAAACTTGTTGATTTTAAAATGTTATAGTTTAAGTACTATAATACTTCACTGTATATATTTCTCTGGAATTTGGAGCCTCTTTTTTCCCCCTCTGTTAATAGGTAAACAGTCGCTCGTACACCCGGTTCAATCAATCTCAGAATCCTGATGGAGAGGGCAGTTGTGTGGAGGTGAAGCTTGCTGTGGATGGTGAGGAGGAAATGGATGGAATAGAACAAGAACAAGAAAACGTGCAACGTGACACGTACACAAGATCCAGTCGTTCTGGGCCATGGAACAAGTGGAGGTTTCTCGTTTGGGTGGGTGGAGTGCTGGTCATCTTCTGTGTAGGTGAGTGTCTTTGCAGTTTATTTCGTTTTTTTTTTTTACTGTATCTGACTGAATATGCAGTCATTATGTATTAATGGACCCTTTGACATCCATTTAAGTTTGTCCCAAATTCTGCTTTATTTCTTCCCAAATTCTGTTTTCACATTTAAATAGCAGTCCTTTTTCCTTTTCTATGTCACAGTTTGATTAAATTTATTCAAATTTTGCCAAATTCTGAGACATTCTACATCATACAGTGAATTCCATTTTATTACAGGATTCTGCGATTGGAAATCATAGGGCCATGTAAATATTAAGAAATTCAAATTGAAATACTGATATGACTAGAAATTATTTTATGTTAGAAGAGATATTAAATTGGTTGCCTGGGACAGTGGTCAGTTCAAAACCCCTGTGAGTGATCAAATAAAATCAAGTGTTTCAATGAGCCATGTAATAAGTTGTTTTTAGGAGATGTTATCAGTTTCTAGTACTCATGTGAGAAACCACACACAGTTTTCCTTCTACTTTTTCCCTGTCCAAGGTTTACTCATTGGATACTCTGTCCACCGCAAGTCTGAGTCTGCTTCCTGCTCTCCGGGAGATGGTGTGATCAAGCATGACCCTGAAGATCCACCTAATCAAGAATTTCCACCAAATGATCCACCTCCTTTGGATTGGAGTGAACTTGTTGGACTTCTGAATGATAAACTGTCATCTAAAGCCATTGCAGATAAATTAAGGTAACTAAGTCATTGAATATTATTGCTCTTGTGAGCATTATTGGTTTTAACTTTAAAACAATTGTGATGACATAACTTTAAGTATGCACTTCTGTCATTGAACTTCGCTGACTTTCTGTTCCTCTTCCATTAAGCGAGTATTCCCAGGTTGTCCGTAAAGCAGGATCATCTGCAGATAACAAGTTAGCTAATGATATCCATGATATTTTCACGCAACTGAATATGGACCCCTGGGATGATGAACACTATGTGAAGCTACAGTTTCCTAACAGGTCAGTATCAGCTACATTACAGCAAAATAAACCTCTCAAAACACCACAGTAACTGCATAGCATCACTCTATAACACTGCACAGCCACATGCTAACATACACTAAACACTCTAAAAACATCTCTGAATACAATAAATACTGTATAGCAACATGCAAATAAGTGTATAACACTCTAAAAATCTCTCCAGGGTGTATGCGGGTCCTTAAAGTCTTAAATAACGTTTTCCTAATAAAAGGCCTTAAAAAGTCTCAAAATGTCTTGAACTCAGATTCGATGGGTCTTAAATATTTTTGGTCACATTACCACTAAAATATATTAAGTCTGATGTAGGACTGTGCAATTAATCACATGCGATTGTCATGCGCATCTCGTCAGTAAACCCGGTCCCGTGATCAGTAGTAAATCTCCATCACCTGGTTTCAGATTGAGCGGCATTCACTACACAGGGCCGTAGTTCACTGACAATTAGGCAATATCGCGTTCATAATCGCAGATGAATCGCATTCGTTTATGAATGCGATATCGCCTAGCTTGTCAGTGAACTACGGCTCTGTGTAGTGAATGCCGCTCAATTTGAAAGCAGGTGATGGCGATTTACTACCAATCACGGAACCGGCTTTACTGACAAGATGCACATGACAATCGCATGCGATTAATAGCATAGCCCTAGTCTGACGGACCTAATGACCATTTACAATCACTGGACAGACCGAAGATTTTTTTTTTTTTTTACTCCCCCGTGGTAAGTTACTGCATCATCAGAGAGAATCGCAGTAGCAGAATACAGGTTGAACTAACTTCTTAATGTTCTCAAAAAAAATTATAAAATAGGTCAAGCTACAGCTGATCAGCCTTCTAGCTAGTTTAAAATGTCCCCAACCGGACAAATAGCCTGATTAAAACATAAGTGACCAAAAAAAAAAACAGTGAAGCATTGAAACGCGAAAATGATTCTTCTAATTTTATTAGCCTGCATTCAATGTAAACAGTGTATTTCTGCTATCAAGGTCGCGCTGTTGAAGCTCACTGAACAAATGAGCGTTAACAGCACACATAAAGAAACACACAGAGTTAAACATTCTAAATGTTTAGTTTATTCATAACATGATATAGTTAAGTAACATACCATGACAAGTGAGCTATTTTGCTGAATATTCGCACGACGCAAAAAAACATTCAAAACACCTTCACGCATTACGTGAAGTCTAGTGCGCTCTTTCACTGCATGATTCAGTCTATTAAAATACATTCAGAATGATCACAAGTTCAAGACATGGGGGCAGAAAATTTATATATTTATACCACTTCATATACAGGTGCATCTCAATACACAACATTCTAATTTATTGAGATGCACCTGTAGTTAATCAATTTCACGAGTCCATTTTTTCTTCAAAAATTACCATGATTACAATTGTGATATTGATTTTATTTTTTAACATTTTTACAGCAGTTCAATAAACTAGAAGTTAATTAAGAGAAATACTTTTTAAACACCCTATTGCCTGTTTTTGCACTATTTCAACAACAAAAATAATTCCAAACAAAGCCACAGCGCTGTTTTGCCTCTCTTAGCAACATGATGGTGTTTAGTTCCTGAATGAATCAAACATTTAAATGAATCTGTTCAATCGCAATGACTCACTTATTAACAGTGACTTGCTGCCACCTACTGGCGGTTTTAATTTCACATTTAAAGTACCTTTTTATTTAAATAATTTCAAATATCAGTATTCAATATTTTATGTTTAATTTATCAAAACATTATTTATGCATTTGTAAAGGTAAATAAAAATATGCAGATTTAAGTATGTAAAAGCTGATAGAACACTGATGACAATGTGTCTTCAGAATAAATTGTTTGCACCACCAAAAATGTTGGCGATGCGGAGCTTTTGTGGGGATATTTTGCATGGAATATTGTCTCCTGATATGAAAAGTTCACTGTATATCATAAATATAATTTATTACAGTGATGATATTTTGTTTTCTTTTTACGTTAAACACATTAAATATTACATATATGTAATATAATGTGAATTTCCATTACAGGTTTAGGTCTTAAATTTCATATAAGGTGGTATTAAAAAGTCTTAAATTTAACTTGTTATAGAACTTAGAACACCAATAAAAGCTGCATAGCATCATGCTAACAATCATATAACACGCTAAAACCACACTGAATACAATAAAAAACACATTAATTTGCACATTACTTGCTAAAAACATCTGAACACCGTAAAAACCTAATTCAGCGTGCTAACAGGTGTATAACACAACTTAAAATCACTCTAAACACAATAAAAGCTGCATAGCGACACACTAACAAATGCATTATATGCCAAAACCCTCTCTGAACACAATAAAACAGTGACACGCTAACAAATGTATATCATTCTGAAACCTCTCTGAACACTGTAAACCTCACAACAACACAGTGAAAACCACTCGGAACACCTTAGCAAACAAAATCATGGTTTTTACGTCTTTCTTTGGATATGTTATTTGTAATTTGGATTGTATGTAACCCTAACAGCTCCAATCCAAACAAAGTGTTGTTTGGTGCAGTGGAGATCGGAAGTCCAAAAGGGTTCCTGGCTTACAGTGAAACAGGACGTAGAGAGGTGAGCCTTCATCTTCCTCTGCAGGAAACACTTGCCTTTCTTGAATTTTTTCTTTTGTTAGTCAGCTTAGCTCAATGGATGTTCCATAATTGACAACTTTTTTTTTTTATTATGTTCACAGGGCAGAGTGGTGTACGCCAACTATGGTGAGCTTTCTGACATGCAGAATAAAGAATACGGACTGAATCTAAATGGATCTGTTGTACTGATGAAAGCTGGAAAAATCAGCATGGCTCAGAAGGTGATTCATGAGTAACGGTTCATCTGACCTTGTAGTGTTTTCCTAGAGACTCGAGGCCAAATATCGCTGTTAATTGTAACAATCTGGTACTTTTTGCTAGTGCTGATCAAATTATGTTTGTCACCATTGTAGGTTATGAATGCAGCTAAAATGGGTGCCGTAGCAGCTCTGATCTACCCAGACCCAGCTGACTATAAAACTATGTCTTGGGATGCTGAACTTTATGGTCATGTAAGTTACGCCAAAGAATGATATTCATATGTTTGAGTTAAGTTTGTTTATATTGATTTTGAGTTGAGCTGTTATATTTACCTTTTGTAATAATTTTTATTAATTGGTAGATTAAAATGCATTTTATTTACTTTATAATATGTTCTAATATAAATATTTTATTTTATCTATATATATACATTTTTAAGATGAAGGCAATTTCTAAATTTGAAAAAAGGGATTCAATGTTGACTCATATGATTCATTTAAAATCAGTAACTGTGACAGTTTGAACAATGTAAATTTATTCACATATTCCGGTCTTTAATTATAGGTCCACCTGGGATCAGGTGATCCTTACACCCCAGGATTCCCATCCTTTAATCACACACAATTTCCTCCTGCCAAGTCCTCTGGTCTTCCAGGAATACTTGCCCAGACAATCACTGCTAACATGGCACAATCAATCTTTGAGTATGTTATAGGTTTTGGTTTACCTTGATCTTATTTTTTAAACCTATTTTGAGAAACAAAGCTTGATTGGTATTCTCAAATTTCTCACAGAAAAATGGGAGGAGAAGGTGCTCCTGATAGATTTAAGGGTGACTTATCCAGTTACAAGTTGGGAAGTGAGAGTGACAAAGTAACCGTAGCAGTCAATAATAATATTGCAGACACCAAGATCCATAATGTGTTTGGAGTCATCAAAGGTTATGTGGACCCTGGTGAGTTTGTGCATTTTTCTTAAACGCATCTATAGAATTAAATATCTGTGGTCTCACTGTGGTGGTGTGAATCCGGCAGATTGTTATGTTGTGATTGGAGCGCAGAGAGACTCCTTGACTTCGGGATATGCCAAGTCTACAGTTGGCACTGCTCTTCTGCTGGAGCTTGCGAGGGTTTTCACAGAGTTGAAGAAAGGTATGACCTTACCAGAGGACGCATTAACCGAACATTTTCCGTCATTTACAGATTTTTTTTTTTAGCAGTGACGGGAAAATCTGAAGGCTGTCCGTCACTTTGACAGATTACACTGAGGGTGATCTATTGTAATTTGTAACTGTAATTCCCACCCCTGTCCAGTTGGTGGTGAGTGCACTCCAGTGTGGCAGGAGAGTGAGGGATCATCAGCCTCCAGAACAAAAATAAAACTGTCACAAGACTTTTGCTATGCGTTTTGTTTATGCGCTGGCGAGTACCCAGTTTAAGCTACAGCGATCTATCTTGAATTTGCTTGAATTTCCTGATGAAATTGACAAAATTTGAAATCGGAGACTTTGTTTTATATCAAAAGTAACAAAGCACAAAGCTTAGCCTATTGCGATTTATTGGATGGGAGGTGCACTATGTACTGTTCATTCAACAACTGAAAACAGCATAGACCAAAAGATCAATTGGGATTTAATTTTTATTTTTTTTCAGAAAAATTTGAATCTACTAAAATGGAGATTTTTATTTTTTATAGCATATTTTGTTGTTTTTAATGGTCTCCGCTGTCACTGCGGGGTGTGGTGTCCATCATGAAAACTGACACACAGTCTCTGTTCATTTGTTCTCTTCAAAATAAATCCATAAGCCTATATGCATGTCCTTTAGGTTCATGATTAAAAATGAAAATGTCAACAAAAATAAAAGCAGTTAAATTTGTCATTATAATTAAAATATGAAAATTAAATGAGTAATAGATTGATTGGATTTTTTTTCAACCCTGTCTGTCAAAATGAGGGACAATGTTAAAGTCCAAGTCTAATTGTTGTGGCATGGGCTCACTCAACCTCTTCACCATAGGTAGTTTCAGACCCAAAAGAAGTGTTGTGTTTGCCAGCTGGACCGCAGGGGATTTTGGAAACGTCGGTGTTACTGAATGGCTTGAGGTTTGTGTGCTGATGTCATCTGTGATTGGTTTGAATATTGGCACATAGTTTGATCTGAAATGCAAGTTTTGTAATGTGTTGTCTTCTTTGTTATACAGGGATACTGGTCGTCACTGGACAGAAAAGCCTTTACTTACATCAGTTTGGATGGTGTTGTTACTGGTAAGTTTAGTGTGTTCAAATGTCAAACATTTATTTTATTATAGTCTTTTGTTCACACAATTACAGTTTGTTTTTTAAATGACAAAAAATGAGTCGTATATCTACCAGGGTTGTCATGATAAATGAATAGTGTGTTATGGTACCAAGTAGGGCTGTGAGATATGGACAAAAAAAAAACCTATCGCGATTTCTTTGATCAATTTTGCGATTTTGATTTTAATCACGATTTTGACACACAGACATGCTTTACAGTCATTAATGCATTCAGTGTGAATTTGAAACATATTTCCCAAAAAAAAAACAATTAGAGCTTTATCAAAAAGCTGTAACATGCCTCTAGAACAGACATAAGGCAAAATAATCACTAAGTAAAGGTGTAACAAAATGTCTCTAGAATAGACATATATGGCAGAAAAAAAAATCCTGTGTCCAGAGATTTTTTTTTTTGCCATGCATTGGTCATAGAGCTCTTTGTGGCGTTGCCTTAGATGTTGAACTAGATTTGTTGCGCCAAGTTCACACGTACTCCGTCTGCAGTGCGTATACAGTATGTGTATGCGGTGCAGAAGCAGCACGGACTCATTTTGCTTTCACACAGGGCGCGTTTGCAGTCCGCTCCTTATCCGCGGCTGTTTACCACAAACACAACATTTATCCATTATTTTGATTTCAAATCCAAACGTTTCTGAAAATGCTCTTTTATCACAGTACAGTAATACAATCTTTCATAGACATATTCACGTTTAAACTCAATAAATATAACTTTGTTTAACTACCACCACGAGTGCCATTTATTATGGCCTTGTTTATCTAAAAGTGCATTTTTCCTTGTTTTAAATCTAGTCAAAAAGCTATGTGTTGACTGTGAAACAGTAGACTTTATAT